TGTTTGTTTGTTTGTTTTTTACATGTTTGCTTGCCTTGACTTGTAAGGATGCAATACAGAATATTTAGGCCATGCATTTTTCAGGTCGTCTTGCAATTAAAAGATTTTATGGAGGGGAAAAAAAAATAGATGGCAGGTCATATAACATTCAAAGTAACTGTAGAGCAAATAGAGTTACAGTTGATACTAATTAGATCCAATTATTTTACAAAATTTATCACGCTTATCAGAATTCAGTAAATATGATGATCCTTGCGGTCCCTTCCAGCCATTGCCATTCTATGATTCTATGAATATTCTTTGGAGAAAAGAAAATAAAAAGAGGATTTTCCTGGAGAATGTGACAAACTGAGGCAAACTGGGCTAAATATCGAGCTATGTGAGCTAGTTTTGCTAGGTAAACAGCAGTCTATCTTCATGTATCCTTTCTGAATACTTAAAAAAGTTAAGAAGTGAGCAGTGTTATTTGTGGCATTTCAGATCTAAGGAGCAGAGGCATCGTGGGCTGAGATTCTTGTACCAAAATCTATCGTAGTCAGAAAGAAGTGGGGGTGGGTTAGGGCCTGCCAGCTGGGATAAGGTGTTACATGTTTTATTTAGGACGTCAGAAGAATGTTCTGACAGATGTGAAATTGAGCCTGCTTATTCTAAATTTCGTTCTTGTGCCTTTACTAGTAGATAACCTCTCTCTCACTTCTCAGCTGCCTCCTTCCATTTTTCTGATGTCTCTTTATTGACAGTAATGCATTCACTAGAGCGCAGAATGGGAGCTGACAGGACTGGGGCTCCATCCCTCATTAAAACCACCGGTGGTACAGCAGAGGAATGAGTATCACTTCCTGTTGATATCGGGCCTGTTTCTGACCAGAGACCAAGGAAAGCAAGCTGCTGCAGCAGCTCTTAGCAAACATTCACATTGGCTGCAGAGGTTCTCATCTACGGAGTGCCTTGCATTGTTGATGTGGTAAAGCGTAACCTTGACGAATCGGGTGTCTCGTCTTTGAGGCTGATGTGTATTTGCATCTTGCTGTGGTGTAGTTCTAAGCCAAAGCACTAAAATGACATTCCTCTGAAAGGAGTCTTGGTTTTCTGCAGGATATTGTTAGTGAAGTGCTTTGCCTAGGAGTCCCTTGTGTTTAATTTAAAATTCTCTTTTGGTCCCAATATCTGTTCCCCCATTCCAGTGAAAGGGCAAGAAGGGTCAGTGTTCAGCAGCAGCAATGTAAGAAGAAATAGGGAAAAAATTTAAATTAGCTTGAGTACTTGGCTAGAATACTGCCTACAAAAATCAGCATTTACAATGCTACCTGAGGAAGAGCAGTAGTCCTCTCTCTTTATATTGCTTAACAAGAGCCTTCTAAATGCTGTTGTAAAATGACAAATATATTTCATCAGGTTGGTCTTGCATCGGGATGACCAAACTGTAGCTGTGGGAGGGCTGTGCTGGTTTACCTTCATCAGAACACACTCACATCTTGCAGATGTAATCATAATGCTACTAGTGATATTAGGAACGATGCTAAATGTTGTTAGGAAGAAGAATGCAATATGGGTTTCAATCACTGTTTTTACCAGTAACATAGAAACCAAACAAGTTGACCAAAATGAGAAAAGCTTCAGGAATTGTCAATATAACAGGTTCTAAGTTGAAAATGTACAACATAAAGTCAAGCTTAGCATACCGCAGCTCCTCTCCTGCAGATGACATATGCAGCATGCTCATTGCAGCCTTCCAGCACCTGAAGGGAGCCTACAAACAGGAGGGGTGTCCACTCTTTACAAGGGTAGATAATGGCAGGACAAGGGGAAAATGGTTTTAAGTTGAAGGAGGGAAGATTTAGGCTGGGTACCGGGGGAATGTCTTTACCAAGAGAGCAGTGAGGTGCTGGAACAGCTGCCCGGAGAAATTGTGGATGCCTCATTCCTGGAGGTATTCACGATGGATGGGGCCCTGGGCAGCCTGGTCTAATGCCAGATCTGGAGGTGGCCCTGCCTATGGCAGGGGGTTGCAGCTTGGTGATCCTTGAGGTCTCTTCCAACCCAAGCCGTTCTATGATTCTATGCTATTTCCACAATAGGATTTGAAGAAAAAAGCTGGAAACTCAGAATGACATTTGCAAAGATAAGCATGCGAAATGCAAGGTGTGCTTAATGAGAGAATGTGATGTGTTAGAGCTGAACAATTTTTGCTCTTCATAATTACTTAGAAGAGAAAGTAGATGTACCTGGGAACTGTTAGGATAAAATCTAGCGTGTCTGGAGGCAGTCGTTTGTGATTGAAATAAGCTATTCAAAAGGATTTGTTCCTCCAAAAACACCGTCAGCCTTCAGTTTTCTTTGTACAGATGGAGAGGGCATGCAGAGCACTGCATAAGCTGGTATGCAAGAACAGCAGAGCTTTGGGTGTGCCTCCAGCCAACCGTGACAGCAATGGAAGGGCTTTGCCTCCAACCGGGCGGCATCGAGCTCCACCTACTGCGCTACCCCTGCAGCTGACTTTATCCAGGGCTGCCGGGTGTGAGCTCAAGAAAAACCACCTCCATCGTTTTAGCAAAAAAAAAAATCCTTTTGGATTAATTTCACCAGTCTTTCTTTGGACCGTTTTTCATATATTATCTTGCAGTGATTTTTTTTTTGTTTAAATTTAAATGGTTGTTTTCTTACATATGGAGTTGTACATCATTTTGTTACTTCGTTATAATGAAAGCAGGAAATGATGAGTGAAACAGGCATTTTGGTGGCTTAAAGGCAAGTAAGGAGACTTCTCATAGTTCACCTAAATTTGAAAACACTATGAGAAAAAAAATAATTAAAAAAAACCCACTCAAGCCCATTTATTGCTTCTGCACAAAGGTTCTTCAGATTGTCATTATAATATATTGCTGACTTTAACAAATTAGACTTACCAACACGTATTTTTCCTCAGTTTCTTTTTTTTTTTTTTTTTTTTTTTAATATCTGCACTGCAAATTAAAAAGAAGGAATTACACACCATTCCATCATTATGGAGTGTTACTGTTTTAAGCTCAGATTGCACCTTTTCAATACGCGGCGTTGTAATGAAATATAATGTTGTAGAAAAAGAAACGATTCCCTTCTGTTTTCTGTGATAAGACTGATTGAATCTCATTACCAGTACCTGAGAGGATGGGGTGACATATGTGCTACCTCCCTTCCTTTCTTCCCTGAGCAACCATGCCGAGGAGAGGTGGATTTGCAGCTCTTTTCTTTGCCTTTCCTCTTGAACTGGCTGGGGTGACTGACCAGAGGTAGGATGCAGGGTGATGTTGCACTTCGTAGAGTTTTGGTCACAAAATTTATTCTTTCTGCACACCCAGAAACCTCCAAAAGAGTCATGTTGGGAAATTTTTTCTCCTCGTGGTCCACAGCCTGTACTCTGTACTCTGTAGTCAGCATACTGGTACTTACAAGCAATTGAAACTTTAGGGCTGCATTCCAACACTCTTCCTCTCCTCAAGTAGGAAGTTATTCTGAGATGTCTTAGTTGATTGAATCATATCAGTCAAGGTATCACCAGCTGTAAAAACAATGGTAGCTGGCCATGGTCAACATATTGCTGTTTCTGCTGGGGAGAAGAGTCAGGAGCAAAGCAGGCTGGAAGTTCTGCATTTCCTATGGGTGAGATGCAGGAGCCTGCTCAGAAGTTAAAATGGTTCTCACACACTGTGTGAATGAGTTTTCTTCAAACACTGAAGCAGCTCAGGTACCTTGGTATTCCCCTGCAAGTGAGACGTGTACTCCCAAGCAGTGTTGGCTTGCCATGTGTCCCTGCTGCTGACCCACCTTGTTCCATTGCTCCCCAGCCACATGAGACAGCAGAGCCTTCACGCACTCATCTTTGACACTTCATTAGTTCATCTCTACACACTGCAGAAAATCTTTTTTCCGTTCCAGCTGCTTTGCTCTTGGCATCATTTCTGCTTATTTTTTATTCTGTTATTTGCTCACGGTCTGCCCTCAGTCGTTACTTTGGAGCTCTGGTGTGCACAGCTTTCTAGCGAGTGAAGAGCTCTGCTCCTTATGCTTTCTGCTTTCATTCTGTTGACATGTTACATTGGAACATAGATTTGGAAAACATTTTGTGCCCTCTAGAATCAAGATTCTAACAAGCGAAATGATTTGCTTTTAAGAACTTTTTAAACATCCAGATACTTCAAGGCTTTACAGCTCCACGTTTGCTGCGCTGTGCCTTTCAGTCTTTGTTCCACATCAGCTCTGCCCTAGCTATATAGATGCAGCTTCCCAGGGCCTTCTGCTTTGCTTTGCTTGGGATCAATAAATGAGCTCTTTGATCTGAAAGTACTGCAGGAAGGAATTGCTATTTTCATACCCTTTTAGCCCGAGTACCATAGGCTGTGGAGTGATCTGAAGTTCTTCATTAATCTACATATAAATATGTGCGTATATATATATATGATTTCAGTAGGAGGAAATATATCTTCCTTCCACTTGAATAAAGTGCTGGTTGAAGGAGAACTAAAAATGAGATTGTTTGACTTCAGGGCTTTTCATGAGTCTGTGCCTTCATGGTGAGTGAAAGCATAGACCCACGAATACTGATCCATCACAGCGCGTATCTTCAGGGAAGAGCAATTACAGGTAAGTAATTTCTTATTCCTGTTTTGGAAATTGGATTTTCTTTTTATGTTAGACATGGTAGATAATAGCCTTCCATGAGAAGAGGGTTTTTTTTTTTAATAGAAAAAAAAACAACATTCAAGTGCAGTGATTTAGAAAGCACGGATGCATTTTGCACGGTAGTTTTTTCTGCAGGTGCTTCACATGAGAATCTGTTTGAGTGCCAGAGTTAGTGATGTTTTAAGTGTTTCTGCATCAGACTTGCTTAATTCTTTGATTTAGTTTGCATCTCTGTAGGAAAAGTTGCTTGCACCACTTGGTTTTTAAAATGGTGATCTGCTTCTCTCTGTCTAACTTGCATTTATACACAAGGCGACACATTTTTGTTCATTTTTAGGAACCTGTGAAAAAAGACGTGCAGGAAAGACTGCAGAGAGAAGTGGCTGAGGTTACTGCTAATGAGAGCTCTGTCAATCTAAAGGTTAGAGTGTGCAGTTTCATTTCTGATGCAGCTTTGATTCAGCATGGAGTTAAAGAAGCCAACATACAAGCATCATGCTTTGAGTCTATACAAGTGGTTGCTGTTTATAAGCTCTGCTATACATAAGAACCAGCCTTTCTGCTGATATATCATAGGTTTTATCTCATAAAATTACTGCTGATGAGTGAGACAAGTTTATAGTGTAATTTGGTAAAAAGAATGCTCAGAAAATTCAGTTTAGCGGTGTCACTCCATTCGTCATAGAAGACCGACCTTAAAGGATGTAACAGCTTAGCACAGAACATCTAATGCATTCAAAATGACTTTTAAAATAAAACGTTGTGATTTGTGGTGTACATCGGCAATATTGCACAACTTATATCTCAAAATCTCAAGGCTGTAGGACTTTCCTTTACTGGAAATGCACTGGCTTGTCCCAAGGAACACCTCAGCTTGCACCTCAGTCTGTGCACACTGGTGTTACTCTTCCCAGTGAATGGCAGTTCAGCCATGCACTTTTTGCACACTGAACTCTGCCTCAGCTGCATGTTTTGTTGGCTTCACCAGCACGTGCAAAAACACTGCATGTGCACAGCATGTGGTCATAATTCTGTGAAACGGATGCAGCTGTTCTCTGGGAGTCCCAAGGGTGCTTCTAAGGCAGGGGCAGTTCTACAGCAAATGCAAGCTTTCATCTCCCATAAATTTGGATGCATAGTTGTTCAGAGGAAGAAATGTTGCAGCACTTTGAACAGTGCCCTAAAGGAGATGATTTCAATTCCCTTGTGTAAAATCATGAACCTGGTTTGTACACTCCTAAAAAATTAAATTAAAAAGTTAGAATGAAAAGAGTGGATACACTGCACTCTGTGCTCCAAAAAGAGAGCTATGTCTGCAAAGCTCTTTCTATTGCTTTTCTGCTTTTTTTTTCTTTGCCTTTTTTCTTTTTTTTTTTTTTTTGTCAATAACTTGTTTTGTGTCTGAACACTTTTCTGGACTAGAACTTGTAGAAGATTTCTCTCTTGTGTGTGCTTTTTGTAGTTTGATGCATAAGAATCACAGCAGTCGTTCCCTTAGCCCAGGTAATCGAAAAGTCTCTTCTTCCAGTTTTGGTTTCATAACCCTCTCAGGCTCTTCACTGCTCTTAAGACTTCTGTCAAACCCAAAGTCAGCCAATGACCAAAAGCTGTTGAAGCACTCTTATGCCCAAGAGAGCGGTGAGGCGCTGGAACAGCTGCCCAGAGAGGCTGTGGGTGCCCCGATCCTGGAGGTGTTCAAGGGCAATATCATATAATGCCATATCATATAAGGTTTGTTTACATGTTCATGAATCTCATAATACTCTCCCAGATGATGGTTATCTCAGAAAACTGTGATTAAAGCTGAACTGTGAGACTGCATGTACCTTCTCTGTGCTAAGCTCTTCTTAAAAGCTTAATATTAATTCTCAACTTGATCACTTTCAGTCTGATCTGCTGGAATCAGTGAAAAGGCTCACCTCACCTAGAGAAACAGGAAAGGAGCTGAAGACTCTTAGTAAAACTCTAGCTCACTTGAGGTAAGGAAATCAGAGCACACAGAAATGGGTCAGGCCAAAGGAATTGTTGGTTCTGCGGTGGTCTCAGCTGGCTGATCAGCAAAATCATCAGCTGTACTAGTTGCTTAGAAAAGATGGCTTGTAATTCCTCCTTTATAGCCATTCTGTATGCTCAAGATGTACTGAGTGCATGAGGAACTGCATCCACGTCCACTGCATGAAGAACAACTGCTAGCTCCATCAGTACTGCACTGTTTTGGTGTTGTTCAGGTGCTTGTTACCTTTTTGCAGTCCTCTGTGTGAAATGTCACTGTGCTAAGATCTGGTAATCCACGAGAAAGGTTGGGATGTATAATGTCCACTATAGGATGGAAAACTACAGTGAGAGTATCTGCCACTATAACAGGAATACGTGCACAGACTTGCATGGAGTATTCCAGCTTGAGATGGAGGAAAATCACGGCTTAGAGGGAATCAGTGTTTGAGCTCCTTACCTGATGGGAATGGGGAGGTTTTAATCAGACACAGATCTGGGTTCCTATATGCCGTGCAGCCAGCTGAGGTTGGACTGCAACCATCATTAATTGTAGGGGATTGAGCACAGAAGGTGGCTGATGTGCTTGCTTTTCCTAGAAGGTATCTTCCATTGCCACTGTCAGAGAATGCTATCTTCCATTGCCACAACAGAGCATTTCTTGCAGAAATTTAAATCATTTAAAAAGAAAGAAAATGGGAAAAAAAAATAACACAGCAAGGTCTGTTGGTCATAGGCTTTACCATTCTACCATCTCATTCTTTTGCACGTACTCAGGTCTTACTGATGCCCATATTTCAGCTTTGTTACTGCAGTCGCTACTTACATTGATGAGGCTGCAATTTCTGTGTGCTGTTCTGTTTCAATCACACATTCTGGTTACACTCCAAATTTGCCTGTGGAGCCTGCTCATGGCATTTGCTCAGTATTAGCTTGAATAATTGCAGAGCTGTATAATAGGCCTTGCAGTCGGTGACTGTAGGCTTACTAAATTTTCTTGGAACTATCCAGCTTCCATGATGCGAGCACTGAGAAACAAGAATTGCTTGTAGCTGAAACAGCAAGCAGGAATACAAAAAGATTTACATCTGGCAAGGTTTAGTTACAGCCTCCTGCAAATAAAATTGATGATTTACTGCTGCCAGCCCCAACAGGGTACAGATTACATGAGCTCTGTAGATTTGAAGCCTTTGAAGAACATTCACTAGATAAAAATAGTTGAATTAAAGCAAGCAGCAAGAAGATAAACATGTATATAAAAACTGAATAATTTCATAGGTTAAATGTAAGCATGTTTTCCAATCAAGAAGGTGTGGTATTGAATCAGCATGTTACATTGATGATGAATTAGGTTCTTGCACTGTTGGACTGAGAGTGCAGATTTACAAAAGTTGAGGAAGCAAAAAAGGTTCTTTGCATGTCCTACTGTAATGATGTGCTACATTATTAGTTGTCACGATGTAGTGTTGTTAAATATCTGCAATTTTTGTATCAGAGCAATTCCTAAATTCTGCACTAGTTATGATAAGTTAAATTCCACATTCAGCAGAGGGTTGTTAGTGGTACGGTAGTAAAGTTCAGTTGCAATTGGACTTGATGATCTTTAAGGTCTTTTCCAACCTGAGCAATTCTATGATTCTTCCCTTCCACCCTTGCCTAACTCTGGCTATTTTGTTTTACATTTATTCTGTTAATCCACTTGATAAATGCGCCAAAAGGAAATAAGCCATAAGCAAAATAGTAAGCAGTGTGTATTTTGAAGGTTGAATAAGCCATTTTAGTGAAGTATGACTTTTTTTCCAATTACGAATGGAACTCAGGTGTCTCAGGTAAGTAAAATGCTTGAGTTGTTCTTCCAGACTTCAGTGATGTCTCTGTTTCTCTGATTGATTTTTTTTTTTCCCAAACTGCCCTGATTAATCAGAAGCTCCAAGGAAAGGTCTTGTTAAGAGATCCAGCTCATCTGAGTGAGTGCAGTTGTTTCTTACAGCATATGAAGTGTTTTGTGTAACCTGCTTCTAACTCAAGACATAATCATAAATGCAGATTAACCTTCTGCTGGATGTTTAATGGTAATGTAATCTGCAAAATGATGCTAATGCAGACTTTTAATGATGTGAATAGATTTGATCTCAATGTATTTTTGATTCTAATGTTATCTTTTAATGAGAGCTTAAATCCCCAACTTTTAGTCTTCTATCCCTTCTCACCTCCAGAAGCCAATACAGCCAAAAGGATGAGCGAAATTATATTCCTTTATGCACACTGTCTTCAGAATTGCCTTTGAAGTCTTGATCAGTTGTATCAGTACCACACTCACAGAGGACAGGCATGTTGGGCAATTGATCTTTAGCATCTAGTTTGGCTTTTTACTGCTGATGCTGAAGGTGGAAAGAGCCCAACTCCATTTTAGTATCCCAAGCAGAATTTGTTGTGCTGACAAATAAGAAATATGTATCTGTTGAAGCATCTCCAACTCATTCACGTTCTTCTAGTCCCATAAATTTAATTATGGTTGCATTTGAAACTGGCTTCATTTAATTTAAAATGCCTGAGTGGAAATATTCTTGTTCTCTGATGTTCCATGACCATTGAAACATATGTGGAACACAGAGAGGAGGCCCAGTCCTGTGTTGCTGCACAAGTCCATTGATATTTCCTTTTTACACTGACTGCACGGCGTGGTGGTTTCACACTGATGGCTAACTCAACTCCACCACACTGCTCTCACACTCCTGATCCTCGAAAGATCAGGGGCAGAAAATAACAAAAAAAGGCTGGCTCAGGGTTGAGGTGAGGACTGGAAGGTCATCCATGATCACCATCGTGAGGAGAAGAGATTCAGCATGGGGAGATTAATAGAATTTATTGCCTGTTTATTACTGGCAGAGTAGAGCAGTGGAAAAACTAACAGCAAAGAGAGAGCACTGTTGTCTCAGTATGTGCTTCAATGATGCTGCCTGTTACCTCCTGTAAGGAGCATGTGGTATTATGTTGTGATCCCAGTGGTGATCCTGCAGATATCTCACAGAATTATGTACTGTGCCTTTTGAGTCATGTTTCCTACTTACATGATTTAAGTGAAATATTATATGAACTACAATGGGCTGTGGAGAAATTTGCTTGAGAAAAGTCAGGGAATCTGGTTTTTGAAATGTGGACTCATTCCCTGATGCTTCCTAAAGCAGGCAGTAGCCACATGACCCAGTGTGCAGAATAATATCCAACAGACTTAGTATCTGGAAATCAAAAGTCTACATTCACTGTTGTTCTTTCTAATTATTCTGTTGTCTAAAACTGGAAACTCCTTGACTTTCAGCAATTAAAACGTGCTAAAGATTCATCTTGAGCGTTCATGCGATGTTACTTTGACTACATTTGCAGAACAGTAAGAACTGAGGTCAGCAGACTTTGTAACCACATGGTGCAATAGGGAATTGCAGGAAAAGATAAATTCTAGTGAGAATTGCTGCACTGATGTTTGGATCGAAGGGCATGATGGCAGCACTTCTCAGCAACAAATTCAGGATGTAGAAAAGGAGCCTCTGAAGGGAGGGAGCAGAGTGGGAAATGCACAAAAGAAGAAAACTGGAGTTGTAAATCATTGGGACAGCAACTTTTCATTTCAGTGAAAGCAGTCAGGCTAGCGGAGCAGCATGCTAATATGTACGACAGAGAGTCAGGGGATGCAAATGACCTTTGTGGATTTGGGTTTTGCTGCCTATCCTCAATGACTGAAAGGGAACAGCCAGCGGTTGTCTTAATTGGATGCTAATTGATACATATTTGTGGCAGATAGTGCCTGTGATCTTGCAGCTTGTTTGTATTAAAGAGTATAATGGAGCAAAGTGTGAGGGAGTTTTTAGCAATAATGATCACAGTGATGTGACGTGATAGTAAAAATGTTCAGATTATCTCAAAAATATTTCAAGAGTCATTACTGGAAAAGGCTTGAATGCATCCATTAAGCTTTCACATGCTAAAAAATATAATTAAAGAGAAGATAAAACTTATAACTACAAACTCATGCTTCCTCTCAGTGATAACTGTAAGTACATGAGAGGGTGATCGCTGAATGCAAAGGTTGTTCAAACTTGTCATCTTTCACTGCTATCAGTCATTAGTCCTGAGCAGGAAGCCTTGTCAGGGCTTTCCTGCTGTTGGGTAACACCAAATCACTGTGAGGAGGTACCTGCCAGCTCTCAGGTAGAGTTTTATGTTAAATTATGGGAAGGAATGTGCTTATGTTTGTGTAGCATTAAAAAAATATAAATAAAAATTGGGAAATCTGTAGATAATTGTAACTCCAATTTCTGAGAGTCAGTGCATCTTTCTTCCAGTGGAGGTTTCACATGCAGACTGAAAATAGCCCTGACTGACTTGACAAAGTGTTTCCCAGTGTTGAATTCAGTGGGTGGAACACAGCATGGCAGCAAAGACAACATATTTCTCCTTGGGCAATCAAATATCTTTAGCTTTGTGCTAAGAATTGTTGTTTCATTTCTGCAGAAGGAAATCTCCCATTGCTGCTTCTTGAGTTTGCTTCGTCTTAGTGAGAAGCACAGCAACTTTGATATGACATTCAGCTCTGAGGGAAATACCTTTTTTTTATTGCTTTGTTGCAATGACATCTGTGTGATCCAGAAATAATGTTAAGTAATACACAGTTGCATGAGGATGCGTTGCATGAAAGCCAAGAAAGCAGAAGTCTTTATAGCCATCCATAAATCATAGCAAGATGTAGGAACGCTTACACAGCAAAGATGGCCAAAGCATGGGAGGTTTGTAGTTAGCATGTTGTAAAAGCAGATTGCCATAAATCACCTCTGTGGGCTAGCTCAGCCAGCAGGACCATGCAAGTTGGAAATACTCGTGTTATTAAATGGCACAAAAAAGCAAGCAACAAAAAACAACACCCAGAAGAGCACAACAGAGCTTAAAAAGCAGCCTGCTTTTTGAAATGAGGCTGGCTGAAAACGTTATCTGT